CCCTGTAATGACAGTGTGGTCCTTCTCTTCTTCACAGCTGCTCCAGTCTCTCTTTGTCAGCTGCAGCGGGGAGGAGGGGACGGGGAATAGCAGACACAGTGTAAGCTGACAGCCCAGTCCCTGCAGCCAGTCCTCAGCTGCCTGTAGACCGGGCTAAATTTATTTTGAGAAGTTTATAGCCCAACTTTAGGTTTGGCAGAACCCTATTGGAGCACTCACCTCCCTCCTCTTCACACAACTCTTCATTTCATATTTAATTACCTTTTTCTGAGCAGTTTTTAGTCTGGTCACATGATATCTGTAAGTTCTCCTCCTCTTTTTCTTCCTGTGGCTGTGAGTGGTCCTCCATGATGCAAAGAACAGCTCCACCTTGTGTTATGATCAATGTTCATTGCTTCATTCTCCTTGGCTAACTGGAATGCAATATGGCTGTAATATTGTAGGTTATTTCAGTTTTGTGGGGCCATCTCAGGTTGAGGAACAATTAGATTGCTTGTCTTGCGTTTGTTTTTTGAAAAGTTGTTTCACAATAGGGTTGATGTGAGCAAAGGAGGTGTTACTATGTATTCACTGAAGACTGTAATAAAGCTGAAACACTATAACAGATTTTGTTTTGTTTGTTTAAATTTAGTACAGTTTTGTTTTGCAACTGTGCTTATCTGTAAGTTCTGGAATGAAAGAAGAAAAAAGCCTTCTACAAAAACATGGTAGTGATTTTCAAAGCCTTTTGGAGAATATGGATGTAGTAATGGTCAAGGGAACAATAAAATAGAAGACTGACTACACAAGGTGCTTTACTGCTCTTTCTTACAACATAAATAGACATGTCAGACAAGTTATTGAAAGCAATTAACTGTGTAGCTGATACTGTATTTTTACAGTTGTTAAAGTGGATCTCTAACTAAAACATATTTTGAATATAATGAGGAATGTTTAGAACTACTGACTTTTTTTTTTATTGCTGTGTCCCCATTGAGCAAGTTTCACTTAATTTCTTGTTCCAATGACACAATGAGAATTGGAAGGAAATCTGCTCAAAGTCAATGGAAATGCCACCTAGAAGATTGTTCCCTATTGGGAGTTTTTTCTGTCTACTCCATCGAAATTTCTATGAATTTTCTGGTCTGATGATGTCAACAGGGCAGACAAAGAGAGGAAGTACCCAATCACATACAAGGAAAATAAAATATATATAGATATATTTGCTTGCAAATGATTGGAATATCAAAATCAGCAGAGCTTCACCATCTCCAATATGCCAAATAAGTGAAAATGCACTTGCTAACCTTAACAGCTTAAAGTGGAAATGAATCTGAGCGCCACAAACCAAAAACACGATTTAGTTTGTTTTAAATAATCAAAACAAGCTTCCACATCCATCCATGTCTCCATGCTTTATATAGCTGACAAATAACTTTGAAAAACATCCCCTAGCATTGCCAACAGGACCAATACTAGACAAGGAAAAAAGCCTTGAGATCACATTGCAGTGGTGTGTGTTGCAGGGGCGGCCCAGGGTCAGTAGGAAACTCTGGCACTGCCCGAGGGCCCGGGGTCAGTAGGGGGCCCCATGAGATGCCCCTGGTACCTTTTTCATAGGCTTTTTTGAGTTTGGGCAAGGACATGGGCCCCATGATCCCCTATTGCCCGGGGGCCCCATGAGTTGTCAGTCCGCCCCTGGTGTGTTGAAAATACGTTCTGCGTACATTGATTTTTTTTTTAGTACAGTGTTGTGCAACACAAGCCAATAGAACTGAAAGATGTTTTGTTGAGTCGTTTCTAGAAATTTCTAGCAAAAATCAAAGTAAACTGCACACTTCGCCATTATTAGCACGTCAGTATTGTTTTCTCCCAGCGCACTCTAACAGGTGTGGTTATAGCTTCATTCCCAACTGCCTAAATTGTGGGATTTGCTGATCCTTTCCCCATGCCGTATTCACTGGTGGTAGATTCTCCATGTGTGTCTTTTGCTGTACGCTCATTGTAAATTGCCCTGGTTAGCGACAGTTTTACTTTAAATTTGCAGCCTGCCCGGGTGTTTTATATAATCCATAATACATTACAAGGAAATCAAAGTCATCATTAAACTGGACCGCTCCTGTAATACAGCATACAGCATCATTCATGATGGCAGATTGAACTTTAACTCAGCCTCTATTAGGTTAAAGTAGCTTTCAAAGCATTAGCAACATCTAATGCATAACCAAGGCAGTAAATACAGCACAGCAGACCACCGTCTTGAATATATAAAACGTCTTCTTCTTCTGTTCATAGATTTGTTGTTCTATTTATTTATTTTATTACTGAGACCAATAAAATGATAGCCGCTAAAGCAGTCTGCCTTGAAATCTAAATTACAGTTTGTTTGTTTGTTTGGGGTTTTTTTGCTTGGTCACATTGGCCCAGCTTGGACCCTTACCCTGGGTTCACATATGTGCGGCTCGGTATATCGCATGTGATTCGCACAGCAACCGCTCCGCATTCCTGTGCAAATCACATGCGATTTGTGTGCGGTGCATTTTGTATGGCTCTATTCGCACCGCACCAAAGACGTGCAGGACCCTTTTCTGTGTCCGCACTAGAATTGGATTGCATAGGTATTCACACCTATGCAAACCAATTCTTTCTTCACATTGCATCCCATTTTGCGGGCCGATTTTGGGGTGTTGATAACTTAACATACACACCCGCAGCGGTTCGCATGAACGGGGTGCGATTCTGATGCTGTGTGGAATTTGCACTGAAAATGCTGCAAAGACATGCAGGACCCTTTTCTGTGTCCGCACTAGAATTGGATTGCATAGGTATTCACACCTATGCAAACCAATTCTTCACATTGCATCCCATTTTGCGGACCGATTTTGGGGTGTTGATAACTTAACATACACACCCACAGCGGTTCGCATGAACGGGGTGCGATTCTGATGCTGTGTGGAATTTGCACTGAAAATGCTGCAAATTCCACACATCAGTGTGAACCAGGGCTAAAAGACATGTGTATGCTACATTTTACCATGTGAGTTAGTGTGAAACTAGTGTTAGGCTGGGTTCTCACTGGTGCGCTGTGGTTTGGTCGCAGCGCAGGTGTATGCGTGGTATCCATGCATTTTTTACATGTTTTTTGCTGTGCTCTCATTGACCTCTATTATATTGCATGTATAATGCCCTCCAGGTTAGCTAGGTAGTTTTTTTGTGTCAGTAAGAGGCTGAGTAGCAGCCTGGGATGAGTCAGCCTGTGAGTGAGTCAGGAGTTCACCTCAGGACAAGCTAGGGAGGTTCTGGAGGTCAGGGCTTCTGAAGCCCTCCCACCTCTCCTGAAACCTGAGGGCTTTCTGGAGGATGGATGGAGGAGGGGTGGAAGCTCGGATCTGCATACTTGAGGGACCTTGGCCAATCTCTTGGCAGGAGGCTGGGCATGGTGGCCAAGGCAACCCTTAATTATTGCAGAGTCTGGGTGGAAGATGAAATGAGAGGCTGGAGTGTGGAGCCTGGGAAAGGACCCAGGGAAGGGGCCTACCTACAGGCAGGTGCTAGAGAAGAGGATATCCACTGTACCATCGTCTCCAAAGATGGACATCTTGAGCAGCAGGTATGGAGCCAGCCCAGCAAAAGGCCTGAATGCAGCCACCAACTCATTGAGCTATCAGAAGACAGTGTGAGTACTCTTACAGCCCCTGGGCCAGATAAGGGGAGAGGAGAGTCAGGTGGAAAACCCAACAAGCTTCTCATCTGGGTCTGTTGTGCTAAATTGGCAGTTTCTGGGCCCCCTTGCCCAGGGAATACCCTCAGTGCAGCTGGGTGAAGAGGAGGATTCATCTGGGAAATGAGGAGGAACACCAGAGAGCTGGAATGCTCTTAAAGGAAAGACTATTTTTGTCCACATATGTACTGTACATAGTTGCTAAGGAGTTTTTCCTGCCGAAAAAAATACACAAAACACGCATGTTAGCAGGTGTAAGTGGAGCCTTAATGGCACTGCAAGTGCGACACGTGCCTTTTGTGTGTTCTGGGAACACGCAGATGTGAATGTGGTATAACACTAGCCCTTGTGGGGTCTGCTAAAGGCAAATAGACTGTGCACTTTGCAAGTGCAATTTCTCCAGAGATTAGTAAATGCACTTGCAGAGTATATTTGCCTTTAGTAAATCATTAGTGTTGGGCTATAGATGTCATAACATAAGTTGGACTCAAATATCAGCCGTTCGTGTATTCGGTGAACACAGGAACGGTAGGGGCGTTCGGTGGGCTGTTCACCCACTGCGCCCGACAATGCACTGCGCGCTGACAGTGCATTGTGATAGGCCAAAGCAATGCACCTGATAACAGTCAGGTGCAATGCTTTGCATGATGACGTCACAAGGGAGTGGGGGTGACCCCGCCCCCTTGTGATGTCATCACAGTATTTAAGAACTATCATCTTGAAGCAGCTGTCCGATGGCGGGAGCCAGCGTCAAGAGTGGAGCGTTTTTTGGGGGGTTTTTTCGGGTCAGCTGTGGCGGCGGGCATCGTGATTGACGTTGGATCTACTTTGGGGCACATCTTATTTATTTTTGTTTTAAAAAAGGACAGTCAAGGGACTGTCTACCCTAATTTTTTCCACTGCACTTTTTTTGTGAATGAGTAGCGGTACCATGTACCCCATACTCATTCACATGGGGGGCGGAATCTGGGGGCCCCACAACCACTGGCCACGGTTGGGAACAAGGTGCTTTGGAGAGGTGGAGCCCCCCTGCCCCAATGCACCCCCCCATGTTGCGGGCATGTGGCCTAGTATAGTACAAGGGGGGGAACTTGCTCGCCTACCCTGCCGGGCTGCATGCTCGGATAAGGGTCTGGTCAACGCCATTTTGAAAAACATTTTGGTGTGGGAGTGCCCCTCAAAATCCATACCAAACCAGTAGGGGGAATCCCGCTGACAGCTGAAACATTAAAGAATGCCTAGAGTAGCTGTGTGCAGGGGCGGACTGACAACTTATGTGGCCCCCGGGCAATAAGGGATCATGGGCCCCTGTGTCCTTGCCCAAACTCAAAAAAGCCTATGAAAAAGGTACCAGGGGCATCTCATGGGGCCCACTACTGACCGCTGGCCCTCAGGCAGTGCCTGAGTTTCCAAATGGTCAGTCCGCCCCTGACTGTGTGGCATCTTACCGCATACTCAGATAAGGTAAGATACCGCTTAGTGAATTGTTCCCTCTGTTCGAAGTTCGCGGTTGAACTTTCGTTAGGTTCAAATGTTCAACCACGAACCGAACAGGGGGGTGTTCGGCCCATCACTATAAATCACCCTGTATGTTTTACCATACAGGCTAGTTTGAACCTAACCTTACTTTTTGTTATAAAACATATGAAACAAAAATGCCAGGACAGTACAAAAACCTCCAAAATTACCTCTTTTTGGAAAGTAGACCCCCCAAGGTGCACTGTCAGATTCGCCAATGACCTCAATGGGACAGCACTTCAACCCAAACACTTGGTTCTCAGTTCCAGGATTGTATTTCAACACAAAATCCCCTCTTGGCTGGGAAAAAAAAAGCAGCCGAAAAAATGAGGAGGAGGCAGTATGGCCTCTTGAAGGAACGCAAATTGCCTCTGAAAAGCAATCCACCGCTGATTGTGCCGCATGTGTGAAGGAGATTTATGTTTGGATTGACACAACTAATTGATCACCTACAAAAAAATCTCAGAGGCGTAAAGCTTTTTCATGGCGTGTTGTGGAATGTCTGTACGTAAGACGGTTACAGAAATGTATTCATGAGAAGGAGAGGGAGATGGCGAGAGACGTCTATGTGCCTGTGATGCATTTTATCTCTGACTATTCCGAATTCTGCTAAAACCTGGGAATGAAATGTACTGTGTGTCCTATCCTCCCACTCAGCAATTGTGTTATAAATACTTCTTCACACATGCCTGGAACCATCAATCACAACTAGTTCTGTCTTTGTAGATCTGAAACTTTGAAGATGGTCAGCTATTGATGTATGGAAGGGGCTGAGGGTACAGCTCCTCGCCCTGGGTGGTTCACCTTGGCTTCTGCTTCTAAAAGGAGAACCAGATAGGTGCCATAGAAAAGGATACGTCTGTTCCATATACTGTAGCAAGATACACCGATGAAATACATACTGTATGTGGGAGCTGTTGTACCTACCAAAGGATTTGTACTTCTCTCCATCCAGGTCTGAGATTTACACGGCTCTGCTGCACTACACAGCCCGCTCTAGCAGAGGAGAAAACCCAGTTTTTCTACTGCTACAGTTCTGTAAACTTTACATGTCTCCTCATCACCCCTACCCTGTGACAGTCTGATAAGCTCATCCCTCTGTCACTGTTTTCTCTTTACAATTCAGTACACATAGGTGTGCGCACAGGGTGTGTTGGGTATGCCTGAGCCCACCCTGATCACTCAGGGCACATTATCACTCTGTGTGCCAGCGGAGAGATGGGAAAGATATCCCTCTGACTGGCTCTGCCATAAGAGAAGTGCTTCCGCACTGTGCTGGCGGGGGGGGGGGGGTGTCAATGTGTATTTAAGCTGTGCTAAGCACACCCTAATGCAATAGGCTGCGTACACCTATGTCAGTACAACTGATTACTGATTACTTGTTCTGCTTCTCCTTCAGCCAGTCTGAGCTTTGCTGTACTGGGGATTGCAAGAGGCTTTTACTATTGTGTATTATGGGAGCTCATGCTCTCTTTGACCTATTCTTGCCCAGACCCAGGGGCAGTGACCTTGTCATAATAGGATGCCGTGAGCTCAGGGGTCTTATTATACCTTCCATGTAGGGATACCTGCAAGGTGACCCGTTCTGGCTAAACTGGTATCTATTCACAGTCATCTACAGACCTGCTTCGGACTTTACACCAGACTATGCTTTTGGCAGGGCTGGAAATTAATGCAGAATTAAACCCATTGATTTAAGTTTCCCAACACAGTTACATTCCAGGATGAAAAGTATCACAGTTGCTTGTGCTCTTAATTGAACTGTCAAGCCATCAAATGAAATTAAATGAAAGCAGAATACAGATAGATGAACATGGTTTTATATATAGGCCTAACACTGACCCTCACATTAATCCTCCATCTAACCCCAACACTCACTGTAACCCTAACACTCACTCTAACCATAACACTAACATTACATTACCTTGGAACCCTAACACCAACCCTCTGAGTAATCCTTCTAACCCCAACTCTCCTTGTAACCGTAACACTAACATTACTGTACCTTGGAACCCTAAAACTATCCTATCTTGTAACCCTAACACTAACCAATATGTTAATCATGCCTCAAACCCCAACACTCCCTGTAACCCTAACACTGACATTACTCTACCTTGGAACCCTAACACTAACACTAACCCTCACCGTAATCCTATTTCTAACCCCAACACTCCCTGTAACCTTAACCCTAACATTAATCCTCCATTTAACCCCAGCACACCTTGTAACCCTAATCTTAACATTACCCTATCTTGTAATCGTAACACTGACCCTCACATTAGTCCTCAATCCAACCCAACTCTCTCTCTAACCCTTACTCTATCTTGTAACTTTCACATTAATTCTTCTTACAACAACATTCCCTGTAACCTTTACGCTAACGTTATTCTACCTTGTAACTCCAACACTAACTCATACTTTAATCTTCCTTCTAACCAAAGCTCTCCCTTTAACTCTAACACTAACATTCTTGTAACACTAACCATCACATTAATCCTCCTTCTAACCCTAACACTCCCTGTAACCCTAACACTGACATTACTCTACCTTGGAACCCTAACACTAACCCTCACCGTAATCCTATTTCTAACCTCAACACTCCCTGTAACCTTAACCCTAACATTAACCCTCACATTAATCCTCCATGTAACCCCAACACACCTTGTAACTCTAATCCTAATATTACCCTATCTTGTAACCCTAACACTGACGCTCACATTAGTCCTGCATCCAACCCAGCACTCCCTGTAACCCTTACTCTCACCTTACTCTATCTTGTAACCCTCACATTAATTCTTTTTCTAACAACACTTTTTACTCTAATGTTACTCTACCTTGTAACCCTAACACTATCCCTTACATTAATCTTCCTTCTAACCAAATCTCTCCCTCTAGCCCAAACATTAACATCACACTATCATGTAACCCCAACACTAACCATCACAATAATCCTCCTAACCCTAACACTCCCTGTAACCCTAACATTGCCATATCACTAACCCTCACATTAATTATCTCTCTAACCCCAACACTTCCTGTAACCCCCACTTAAATATTACCATATTCTGTAACCCTCACATTAGTCCTCCATCTAACTCCAACTCTCCTTGTAACCCTAACATTACACTATCTTGTAACCCCAACACCAACCCTTACATTAATCATCCCTCTATCCCTAACACTTCCTTTAGCTGTAAAAATCACTGTAGCACTAACACTAACCTTCCTCTTAATAGTTTGGTGAACATATGGACCGCAGACTGCCTCTGGCTATAATACCTTAGGCTGCCCACAGATGGGCAAATATCTTCCAGGGATAAAGAATGGAGAGCAGTTTGCACCAGCATCAGAACTAGCCACTCTCTTCTTTCTCTTTTCTCCATAGAAGAAAACATTTTGCACCATACAAAAGTCGCCAAACGTATTATAAAAACACCAATTCATTCAGTTATTGTATGTATTTTTTAAATCATTAATTGCATTTTACATACTACTAATATAAATACCTAAATTTGATGTGAGCCTCTTGTAATCCCCTTGTACAGCAGCACTTTGACTGGGCCAATTAGGTATCCCTAATTCACATCTGCTGACAAGGAACATGCTTAAAGTACAATACAACAGAAAGAGAACCTTATCAGTCTGTTGCTTCTCCTTCACTGTCAAATCACAGGCTGGGGACCTGGCTGCATTGTTCAACTGCAAGATAAAAAAAAAAAAATTAGATTTTCAGCCTGGCTGTGCTGCCTGATAGGACTGTGTAAACCTCAGAAAACAATAAAAATCTTTTAACAGGTAGAAAAATTCCTGTGCATGTGAAATGCCTACTGGCAGCCCTTTTAAGCCACCCGACAGAGCATTTCTCCCTGACCACGCTGCTCATTGCTACTTTGTTGGGCAAAATAGGGAGGAAGGGGAGCCAAAGAGAAAACTGATTGGCTGTCACTAAAGCCAACTCCTGGTAACGGGGCCATGGGGACTACCATTGGTTGCTGCCATGGCCAGATTACAGACCTGCCCACCACTCTCCAGAGCTGCAGGGTAGAATGGCTGGGACCAGTATGGAGAGCTGGAAGGGTGCCCAGAGAGTACACTTGGTGGTCAGGGAGTAAGGCCACCAGGAGCCTGTGTAGATAAATATGGGGCCACTGGAGAGAGCAAGTTTGTGCAGAGCCAGATACCAGGCTAGAGGTCTCAAAGTTGCAGGTGTGGGTCCTGGACTTGTACAAGGAGTCTTGGAATTGTTAAGCAGCATGGCACAAGAGTACTATCACTGCAGTGTGTTGTGACTTGCTTGTGGATGAGACCCAGGCCCAGGACACCCAATCAGGGAGAGACCACTCACTCACCCAGTGTTATCAGGCATGGGCCTGTGATACCGGGGGACAGCTTCCACTGGAGAGTAGTCGTTGGCGGGGCATTGGGACAGCAGTAAATACTGCAAGGAAGAGCCCTACCATCCTAATCCAGATACCAGAAAGTTTCCCCAAGGCAGGCATTGTCTCTGCTCTGAGCCTGCTCACCAGGAGACTTTCCCTGTGCTAGACAGTCTCCCTAACAAGCGGGGTCTCTGTTCTTGTCCCACCACTCCAGGTGCACCCGAAGGATGTGGGTACCCTAATTTATAAGGTTCCACACCAAGATGGCCACAAAAGGTCACCAGAAGTTGCAGCACCCAATTAAACAGCTGATCCTTCTGTGACACTGATGAAGTTAACCTACTTTAAGAAGGAAACCTGCACCTCCCTACATGCTGTGCCCACCAGAGACTGTATTGTTCCCCAGGACTGGGCTCTGCTGCGAGAAAGATTTAAAGAAACCACATGCCGTGTGCTCTGATACAGTTACAGGTGTGTTGGTGTTTTCTCAGGTCCGAGTACAAGGCAGGTCATCACAGTGTAGGTTAGGAGGACCCAAATAATCCAACGACTCCTCCAGTGGTAGCACTACATATGTATTTTAACTCAAGAACTCCTTGGTTGCTATGCATTGCTGTACATTACACATTATCTTTGCACTGCTTCATAGAAAAATCTCAGCCCAGGAAAGGGTTATTTTTTTTGGAGTGTCGCTGTTAGGGTGTGAAGAACACTCTACATTGTTGGCAGCTTAGTGGAGGGTAGTTAAGAGGCCTATTTTGTGCGAAGTCAAGCCTGGACACTCTGCGGCTAATAACGTGCGTGCAGTAAATGGCCTTTTTAGGAGATTTTCTCTACCTTTTTTCTCAATGCTTCCACCCCCTGCCCCCCCTCCCGCTGGCAGTTGCGCTGCGGAAAGGAAGAAGTTTGTCTTTGATTGGGTAAATGCTTTTATTAACCTAACAGCTCTGTATCAGTGTAATGTGGCTGTTTAGGGGAATTGCCGCTCGTTGCTGACTGCTGGGAATTGTTTGCGATCTCTCCTGTCTGTTGTTCACTCCGTCTCTGCCAGAACCGCATCTCAGGCATTCAGATCTCCTGTTTTCCTACCGTTTCTCATGTTGCTGTCTCTTCTTTACCTATTGCTTTTATATCATACTTTATCCCTCCCGTCTTCCAGGCTTCAGACAGCTGTCAGTCTTTTATTTCCATCTGTCAGGGGCCTCGGTGGAAGATGGTGATTTTTTTTCCTTTATTGTGGAAAAAAAAGATCTTCGTGTGTAGACATTTTTCTTTGCATGTCAGAGTGCGGTTATTTTTCTTCTTCACAGAATTGTTATTTGGATTTGAATTTCTTATACCTATTTATTTTATACATGTGCTGTCATTTATTATATTTTTCCTTGCCAATGCCAATCAGAACTTTATTATTACAGGTATTTTTATATAGCACCAACAATTTATGCAGCAATTTACATATTGTATATTTACATCTGACCCTGTCTTAAAGGAGCTTACAATCTAAGATCCCTATTTTGCATGCCAATTTAGACTGGAGACGCTAAAGAGCCACTGGTGAATCTGGTCCTATTTCCCCCTTAGAGCACACACAGCCAGACACACAACATTTCTTGCTCTCTCCTACTGGCTCCAAAGAACAGTCTAGGAGTTCATTTTAACAATGAAAACTTGGATAGGGAGCATGGGATACCTCAATAAACTGTAGAACTTATCAATTTAAAGACTGCTCAACTTTTGACTGCACTGCACAAAAATGAATGTCCCACAGGATCTCTATGCTGATGGTGTCATGTACTCATTCCAGAGTTAAAGGCTACACACAGTCACTTTTTCTTCAGCACTGAGGGTCATCTACTCACATAGCCACAGGATCATTGGTTGCCTCCTGCCTATATCCACCACAGACTCTAGACATCTGACTAGATGCAGACTCGCATCACCATAGGACAGATGGACTCTCTCTCACTAACCTCCTCCTGGTTCTCTCTAGTGAGCTTCTCCAGACCCTAACTTGATCCCTGGACTTGAAATTTTGAATAGGCCTCCAACTAATCCTAGCTAGTACCATGGAGTCTTCCTAAAAGCTTCTTCTAAGGTCCTGCAGGACTGGACCCAGGAACACTGCTACCCAGGCATCAGACTACTTATGGTGTATCCAGGGGCGGACTGACAACTCATGAGGATCATGGGGCCCCTGTGTCCTTGCCCAAACTCAAAAAAGCCTATGAAAAAGGTACCAGGGGCATCTCATGGGGCCCCCTACTGACCCCGGGCCCTCGGGCAGTGCCCGAGTTTCCAAATGGTCAGTCCGCCCCTGGGTGTATCTCATCACCTACTGGGTACACTTCCCCAATTATTGGCTAGAGACCCTTAAGTATTCAGGCTGCATGTCCTGTTCTTCCTCCCACTATAATTCTAGAGTCCTCTAGAAGACTGGAGAAAGTAATAGAGCAGCAGCCTGTGAAGCACTGAGCAGCCCTAAGTAATCAACCCCTTGCTCCTCTGATTACAGCAGACCCAAACTGTATTTACCTAGCAGCCTACTCTACACTAGGCGGGTTCTACATCAGTATTTTTCCACATTCCTGGGGCCAATTTAGACAGGAGCCAATTTAACTACCAGCATGGTAGGACACTGGAGTACCCAGAGGGAAACCAAGCAATCACAGGGACAACAAGCAAACTCCACTCAGATAGCATCCTGGACAAAAGAGGACCTTAGCCTACAATCTAAGACCCCTTTCTCACTTGCATACATGCACATACCAAGGCCTCTTTAGATTGGAGCCATTTAATCTACCAGCATCTCTTTAAAGTGTTGAAGGAAACCCAGAAGTAAAAACTGACGCAAGCACATGGGGCAAGATTAGAACCAAAAACCCCAGTGATGCAAGGCAAAAGTGCTATCCACCAAGCCATTAAGCCAGTGGTTCTTAACCTGGGTTCGATCGAACCCCAGGGGTTTGGTGAGTCAGTCTCGCAGGTTCGGCGGAGGTGAAGACTCACACCCGACTCATATGATTCGTGCAGTAAATATTCATTATTATGTTTTTGTTTTTGTGTGAAAATCATGTTTTAATGGTTTTGTTCTTTGTTCTTAACGGTTTTGTTCATTTTGTGCACCTATGTATAAATATATACCTATGTTTTGAATTTGAAAAATCATATTTTATTTTTCCAATTAAGAAGGGTTCGGTGAATGCGCATATGAAACTGGTGGGGTTCAGTACCTCCAACAAGGTTAAGAACCACTGCATTAAGCTAAAGCATGTACATCTTGCAAAAATTCCTTAACATCTGAGGCCACTGCTTAGCCACCATAGCCTAATGGCCACGGTGTGTACTTACCCTAAAGGAAAGCAGAGAAGAAAAGTTAATTCTTAAAGCTGAAAAAAATTGCAAGCAGGCAGGCTCTAGGTTGCAGAAGAGACATGTAATGTCTCTTCTGCAATAAAACCTACCTGCTCGCAATCCCTTGAGAATTGTACACTGAGCTGCACATGCGCAACTCAGTTTACATTCCTGCACACTGCCTGTGTGTGAGGATGACTGCACTCGTGCATGCAGCATGAGAGCAAGGATTCTGATCTACTTTACCAGGGTTCAAAACAATCATATAAACACTGGTGAAGCACTAATAAGATAAATAACATAAAAGATGCAAATAAACAGCAAGAAAAAAATAATTAAAAAAGTGGTAGACCTAAAAAGTGCAAATCCACTTAAATCAAATAAAATGCTGCAAAACATGGAGTAAGTGAACCTCTAATGATAGTGTCCAAATGATGAAAACTCGGCCATCTTATACTCACATGTATAAGATGAAAAAAAAAAACACACTTTGCCACCACTTAATATGGGTGTACTGCATGGATCCTTGAACAGAGCCCAGCCTGGCGTCCAACCGGACGTGGTATCGTGGTGGGAATCATAAAGCGATTTGGCCCTTGTGGTCACTGCTTGGAGGTGAGGGGGCATTTCTGTCATTCAGGATTCCTGTCACCCTGGTTTGAAGATCACCTATCACGAGCACCCACATTTTTGCCTGCAATCCTTTAGCATTTATATATCTAGTCACCTGAGTGTTATACACAGTGCTGTTTAGACGTTTATATGTGTTTTGCATGATTTTTTGCATGTGCATCCATTTTGTTATGTGGCCAAGTTTTCATTATTTGGACACTATATTTTTCACAATTGTCGTGTGTTCTTACCCCCTGAGGGGTCACTCATTTATTCACTATTAGTCCCTTAAGTTGATTTTTTATTTTCATGAAATGGGATTACATGTATCATTAGAGGTTTACTTACGCCACGTTTTGCAGCATTTTATTTGATTTAAGTGGATTTGCACTTTTTAGGTCCACCACTTTATGTATTTTTTTTCTTGCTGTTTATTTGCATCTTTTATGTTATTTATCTTATTAGCGCTTCACCAGTGTTTATATGATTGTTTTTTACCTTATGAAGTCAGGTTAGGTGATAGCAGCTCTCTTGTAGTTTTCTCCATTCAAGCGCAGGAGTGTCAGGGCAGGAGCCGAGGAACGGACAGGCAGGCCTAACAATGTAACGCACTGGCTGACGACAACCACCACCCACAGACCGAAGTCCCTCAGGGCGCGGAGTCTAAGTCCCAGGCTGCCCTTCACCAGGGCCCCTGATGGTGGGGATGGACTTGACGCAGCCAGGAACCAGGTCGCGGCCCCCGAGACACCTCAGCTGCGGTAATGGCCGCCGCCAATGGCGTGTAGCTGGTGGAAGAGACAAAAGAGTAGTCAGACAGGCCGGGGTCAACAACAACAGGACAAAACAGTACAGGACAGCAGACGAGAATCACAGGTCACGAGCCGGGTTCAGCAACAGAGGGTCAGATCAAAGGAGAATACAAAGAATAGTCAAGTCACAAGCTGAATCAGAATACCAGGAGAGTCACGAGAGTCAGAACAGAGTAATAGTAACACCAAGACACAAGACACAAGTGCAAAGAGCATGTGCAGGCCACAGGCTTATATGTCATCAGCCACGCCCCTCTGGGGGGTGGACCTCAGAGACCTGAAGGCATAAAAAGGATTCCTACCATGCACAGCAGAATCCAAGATGGACGCCAGCACATGGAGTAACATAACCTCAGGGAAAAGGTAGGACCTTGACAAGGAGGTCCTATCCACTTTTACCAGGGTTCCCCACTACTGATGCTATCCCTGGCCACAGTGGAGGTGCTGCTCCATTCTCTGCTATTCTGCTGCTGCCTGCAGTCTGCCTGACCGCTGAGCCCTCCGATGAAGTCTTGTAGCTGACAGGATCACATTAAAGGAGAAGGAAGGACATGGCGCCATCTCTTGTGCCATGTCTTCAGTCTCTGACCATCTCTTGTGCCATACCCGCAGTCTGACCGTCTCCTGTAGTTTCTGTGGACTGTGATGTAAGGGGGGGCTCTGTGAACTCATGTGCAAGCAGGGGGCTGTGGTGACCAGAAACCACCTTACATCAGAATTTTCCTTTACACCAGTGTCCGCAGCATTCCCCCTTGATTCAGAGTACCCTGAGTTCTCCTTTATATCAGGATCCACAATATTCCCTTTTACGTCAGGGTCTGCAGAGTTTCCCCTTGCAGTGTAAAGGAGAACCCTGTGCTGGGTTATATTAACCTGACCTTCATGTAATTGGAGAAATATGTTTTTTGCCTTTTGTTATACCTTAAACACATTGCTAATAGCACTAGCTACACATTTGTTGCTTACATATTTACCACTTGCCCTCCAGACGATTTACCCCGCTTCCTGACCAGGCCATTTTTTTTCAACACGGCGTTGCATTACTTTAACTGACAATTGCGTGGTCATGCAGCACTGTAGATAAATTAAATTTATGTCCTTTTTTCCCACAAATAGAGATTTTGTTCGATGGTATTTGATCACCTGTGCGCTTACTTTTTTGCGCTATAAACAAAAAAATGACTGACAATTTTGAAAAAAAAAACTATATTTTTGACTTTTTGCTATAAAACGTATCATAAATTAACATAAATTAGGGCAAAATGTACTCTGCTAAATGTCTTTGCTGAAAAAAAATTCCAATACATTTAAATTAATTGGTTTACGTGAAAGTTATAGCGTCTACAAATGGTGATATATATACTGGAATGTTTATTTTTATTCTTTTTATACTAGCAATGGCTGCGATCAGTGGCTTATAGCAGGACTGCGGCAGGCATTCTTACACTGGGGGGGGGGGGGGCTGATTAGCTGCCACTGACATCCTAATGACACTAATACAGTGATCAGTGTTAATAAAAAGCACTGACACTGCTAATGACACTGGGCAGGAAGGGGTTAACATGTGGGGCAATCAAAGGGTTAATTGTGTGCTGTTTTACTAGGGAAACATGCTGCTGTGTATTTCTCTGCTGCTGTGAAATACACAGCAGCAAGTTACTGCTGGCAGGAGAGAGACCTGTGTTGTTTACACACAGGTCTCTCCACTATCACTGTTTCTCGGCGATCGTCGGGTGCCGGCGGGGAATCTCCAGCCAGAACCCGGTGATCAACATCTGTAGCAGTCAACGGCAGCGTGCGTACACGCCCCCTACCCGGAAATGCAAATCACGTGTATATACGTGATTCTGCGCAGCCCTGCCACCCTGTAGCAGTATTTCTGCTATAGGGTGGCAGGGAAGCAGTTAATATTCAAACTGCTTTGCACTGAAAACTGCCATTTTATGTACATTTTTGAAGTGTTAGAAAAAAGTAAAAAAAATATAGCTCTATCAGTAAATTTCATCATTTTTGTCTGTATAAATTGGTGCAGCTTGTGAATTTTGGTCATCTGGTCAGTAAATTTCACTTCAGGGGGTTGGCCACACTGTCTGGAAATCTATTCCACACATCAACTACCCTTTCAATAAAATGATACTTTTCATGATCAGTTTTGAACTTTCCTCCAGTTAGTTTTAGGTCATGTCCTCGTGTTCTTGATTTTGGTTTCATATTGAAAATACTTCCTTCCTGAACCTTATTCACCTCCTTCATATACTGTATTTAAAGGTTGCAGGCATGTCTCCTCTTTTCCTTCTTTCCTCCAGACTGTACATATTAAGTTACTGAAATAGCTCCTGATATGTTTTATCCCTCAGACCTTTCACCATTTTTGTTGACCGTCTCTGGACTCGTTCTATCTTATCAACATTTTTTTGCAAGTGAGGTCTCCACAGTATTCTAAATGAGGTCTCATTAAATATCTATATAGAGCAGGCGTCACTAAATGGCCAAACCCGGACTGAATGACTGTCCTATCTGGACCGTGGCTCGTAGCCTGGGTGTCCTCTCCCAGCTGCAAACCTCCTTCCCCTACCGCG